TACAAAGACTTGAGTGTGCGGTGACGGCGGGCGTGCGGCTCAGCAGGCAGGTCGGGTAAGAGTGATGGTGAAGAGTGAAGAAGGGTTGGGTACCAAAGTGCGCGTGCGTGGTAGTATGGTAGCGGAGCTCGAGGTGGGATGCAACGTGGTAGGGGAATGGGGCACCCCTGCAGCGTAGCGACGAGGGAGAGCGGAGAAGAAACAATTGCACCGTCAGTGCGGATGGCAGCTGTGATTACTACAAATTGATATCTTCGAATAGCTCAGGTTGGCGTTTTATATGCTGGGTTTGGGAACGATAGCCTGTGTTTGTTGGGGTTGTGTCTGAGAACGCGAGTGGTGGGTCTCATAGGTGTGAGAGAGCCTTGAGATGTGCGCCAAGACAAACAGTATGTGCGTCATTTGGCGGTCCAGGCTTACATAGGGAACAATTTCTCACTACACGATGGGGCAGGCAGCGTCTTCTTCCATATTCATTGCATTGCGATTACCATGGCGCCATGAGTCAGGCCATGTCGTGCTGGCGGCTGCCTTGAATTCATGCCAGGCAGTCGCGCCCATCAAGTGGCTTCCAGATGAGGAAAGAGCGAACAAACAACGCCAATTATGCTTTTCCCGCCTCAGTACATCCGCTCGCCCTGACGCTTCTAAATATACATCTACATCATCTCAAGCTCTTATAAGAGAAGCAACCGTATTGTGGATGCTATCGCTGCCCCACGCAGCCACCTTCTCCTGATCGCACGTCTCATACACACGTGCAGCCAGAGTCCTCAGTGCACGGTGTCGCGCATCGTGACCGTCAAGCATCATCTGGATCCAGGGAATAAGCCCACACCTCGTGATGAGTGTTGTGCTGCCCCCTACGTGTGTCGCTCGCAGCAGCAGCCTCACCATCTTGTCCTTTGCAGACGCAGGACACGACCGCGATCCGTAGTGGCTAAGCAGTTGCTCGAAAATGTTGCTCCGTCTGAACAGTTCCATATCGGCAGGTGTTCGCAGACTGTCCATGAGATAGTCAAAGTACCACTCTACCTCCTTGTGATATGTAGTATCATCGTCTGGTTGGGTAGCCACAATGCGATGCCAGAAGAAGCGCAGGAGTGAGTTGATATCCCAGGCTGGAGAAGCAGTGAGGAATCTGTTCACCGTACTGAAGAGTGAGTGTGTGGGATCCGCCACTATCCCGGCGCAACGGGCGGCAAGGACGCCACCAACATATGGGAACGCTTCCCCACCAGTAGCATCGACAGTCTCCAAAAGCTCTCCGAGGAGGAGGTAGAGCTGCTGAAGATCAAAGTCCATGTTGTTGCTTGGCTGAGCTTCTGTCACATCAGCCTTGCCGGTCTCGTTGCGTCCAGTAGATTGTATTATCGTAGTGAGCTGCCGGATGTTGTTGATGGCTTGTATGCGAATTTCGGCATGTTCGGAGCAGAGACATAATACGAGCTCCCCTATATCCCCGTCGTCAATCGCCTCGCCAAGATCCTTCTTCCTCCAACGTGTGAGGCCCATGTGTTTTTCGTCCTCGACAGGCGGTGCCTCAAGATCGACAGCAGTCCTGATTTTCGCTTGGTGGCTAATTTCCTCCGCTGGCCTTGGTACTGGGGATGCAGATGATCTTTCCGAGCCACTAAAGTCTGCACCGGTCGCCAGCTTCAGTGATTCCTTTGCCCGCTCCTTGCCCATCTTCCAGAGGAATGCATCCTTAAGCATCTCTTTGTAGGCTGTGGTCGTTGATTCCACTAGAGCGTCGCGGACATGTCCGAGCATTGTCTCATCTTCGCCGATTAGTTTGAGCAGGTAGAGAAGCCTCGAGAGCCATTGAGCGATGGCGTCAGCGACGTTTGTTGCAGTCTCGCCACCCTTGAATGGCCATTGCTCCACCAATGTCATCAGAAGTGTGCTGAAAGGCCCGACTTCAACTGCTGTTTGCTTGCTTGCACGCATGGCGTCAAGGTCATCAAAGTACTTGATGGGCACTTTGGTGAAACGAGCGCAGCAGTCGTCTAAGAAGTCAAGAACGTCGTTGGAAGGCGTTCTTGATCCAGATGTCGATCCTAAACTTGCAATGAGAGCATCGAGAGCGTCGGGTGAAGTCTTGGTCTGCAGCATTTCCTGATCTTGTAATATATCACTCAGGAGCGATCTTATGCCTGCATATAGCTCGCTCTCTTTTGAAGTCATTAGCAGCCTTAGGAGTGTGACAAACGGGGAGTACTGGAGGGATTCTACAGGAATTAGTGACGAAAAATATCAGGGTTGATGGAAACGTACTCTGCTTTTGCCACCAGCGCATGGCTGGCGAGAGCCTTGCCATCTGAATCCAGTGCTCAAGCTCCATGATGCGGAAGACATTATCCTCAGGTGACGGAGCGGGCTTTTCGGCCTCTACCAGTGCATTGCACAACGGTAGAGAGACGTCGAACTTTTCTTGCAGCGCAACCTGAGGTGTGACCTCATAGTAAAGTCGCAGCAATCTTGTGATCGACTCTCGCTTCATGTCCTTCAGACCCGGCTTCTTCAGCGCCAGGAACACAGTCCGTATCTGCGGGCAACGCCGACTGACTTCAGATACCAAACGTTTAGCCGCTTGCTCCCATTGTTTAGACGATCTGGCGGCGCTGCCATTGCTGAGCTCCTGCAGTACACTCCGTAGTTTCTGAAGCGCGACTATCAGGACACGGATAGCGAATAGCTGGATGAGGTCGGAGCTGTGATTGAGACACTTTGTAAGCGCTTGCTGGTTGAGGGGTTGAGGAAGGATGCTGTTCATTAGGATAGGGACGGGTGGCGGGTGGTCGCGATAGCTCTTCTTTGCACCAAAGTACTTGGGTACGGGAAGCTGGATCGTTTGGTACAGGAACGCAGAATATCCTATCCATGTCGACGTGAGTTTGGGGTCGTAACTGAAATCGCGCCGTTTGACAAAATAATCTGCGATCAACTCGGGACAGGCTTTGAAGATGTCGACAACGAGCTCCTGATGCAGCGTGTTCGCATATGGCCTCTGGTTCTGGATGAATTCCGAGAGGATTATGTTTCGCACTTTTGTCGTCTTGCTGTAGTTGTCTAGTGATTCGAGACCGAGGTCGTTACCATAGTCAGCCGCGTCGTCCTGGTCGCCCTCTTCATCGTCAAATGTAGATGGGTAAAAGCCCTGGGTAGGCAACATGACACCATAAGCGGGATCTGTGCAGACTAGGCGTAGGAAGTCGTGAGCAAGCTGATCCGGCGCCTTGTGTCCGTCGGCAAGCGAGCCTTCTTCTACTTCATAGCTGTACAAGCTGGCTATCCGCGACAAGGCCTTTCCATTCAGGATTCTGCTCTTGGTATGCCGCGCAATAGCTTTGTCTTGAAATACATGGCTCTTGAACACGTCAAGTATCTCGAACACCAGAAAGGGCGGGTCGGTACGCATGTGATCGAAAACGGCGCGGATGACATTTGTGTTGGACAAGATCTCGCTCTTGGCGCGCTCATCCTGGTACCTCAAGTGGGTGAGAAGATACCTGATTGCGGTTGTGCGAATGCTTGGTTTCTTGATGTGATCTGCGGCTGATTGCTCTCTTCCCATATTGATGTTCCTCCCGAGGATCTTCGGCTCGAGCGTAAAGTCTCTCTTCGCGTAGACGGCCCTCGCATGCGCGCCCTCATTGAATCTTGTAAGCTCGGTGAGCAGTCGCAGAGCGGGCGCGATGACATTCTCCTCCTTGGAAGCTGCCGACGTACTCCGAACAAAACGGCGGGCGATGTGAGGCTGTAGGAGTGTCTTTGCCAAGAGGGTACCGTAGTCGAGGAAGTCGGGGTGGCTGGCAAAGACCTTGAACAAGAGCGCAAGCACAGCCGTCACCTGCGACACAATGGCGCTGTAGTTGGTCTCGACCGCATGGTCCCATCCTTGCGTAAGATTCTGCAGGAATGACTTGTCCTTTTCATCCCGTTCTCTTCCTTTTTGCGTGTCTAGGTACTCGCGGAGGATGGCTCGTTTGCGGGGCACGTCGTGCTCGTCGACCGGGTAGAGGATGGAATCGAGGAATCGTTTGAACAGACTCAACCCTATTCAAGTTAGGTATAGTACAGAATCAGGGCTCAAGTTGTGCCTACCGCTTCGGAAGTCGCCCTGGGAGCTCTGGTCGAAGAACAGAGCGTTCTGCAAGTCGCGCGCAGTCGTGACTTCCTCAGCACCGGCATTTGGTCGCGGCGAGTTGCGCTCGTGGTCATTTTCTGTTCTTTGGCGCTTGGAATCGCGATCAAAATGCGCGCCCTTTGTATTGGCCTCGAAAGCCGTCCTTTTGCCCATGGTTCATACTATGTCGCATTCAAGTCGTCCACTTGGAAAGTTCCCGTCAATCTCGAATTTCTGCAGGGATGTTGCTAGCGTGAAGCATGGGCCACCGGTCGGCAAACTTGAGTCATCAGTCATCACTCTTCACTTCATACCTCATCTTTGATTGTCACATTCCATTTTCCGCCAAATTAGCCATCTGTCCGTGAATAACATGTAGTACGGTTTGTTTCTTATGGCTTCTCTATTCACGTGAACCTCTGCAACGCTCTCTCATTTTCTCCATATCTTTCTGTTCCATACCGTCTCCAAAGTTCATCTCTTATCATCATGTTGCAAGAGTTGCAAGAAGGATGTTTTGTAGCACTCATCATAGGAAGTATCTTTGGCCATGGGGAGTATGGTCCTGCCATCTGGCAATCTGATTGACTCCAGCGCCTCGTTGACGGAGCACGACACCCGCGAGCTGCCATCTCCAAACAGGCCACATCGCCCACCGACACCGCCAACGACATCATTGTAGCCACAAACTACACAGCAGAACACGCTATCGCCATGAACATCGACCGTTCATCTACAAAAAAGGTGCTTGTCGCGATAGTGCAGGCCTACTGCAAGCATAGTGCGGACAGTCACCAACATCCACCATCTCATCTCAACCCCCCTCCCCAAAAACCCAGCAAAAAAAACATCCACCACCCCGACTCGAACCCGGGAGCAAAAATGTAAACCCGGGTACCGGAGTGGCATATGCACGAAGTGTAGATCCCATGTCTAGACCAGGCTGCTTCCTCACCGGAACAAATCAAAACTGACTCATAGGCCTAAATCGGATAGTGAGCCTCGGCCAACTCTCTCACTTCCTCATCAGTACGCCTCTTTAGAGATTTTTTGCTTTGTCATTTGTTGCTTGATGGTAGATAGTCGATGCTGATCGTTTATATAGGTGAGTTTAATCGTGGCAAGGGTAACCGCTACTAAAGGCAGTGAGTGAGCCAGTATGGCGAGCCCGTTTAAGTGGTCTGGTTGCGGGCGCTCAGGGTCCAGAGAGCGTTTGCGAGGCTGCACGTGCATTGCAATCGGTGGCGATGATAACGCACCTCACGAGACGCGCAATGCGCAGCCACACTCCAGTCTGCGAGTCTGCCGGGCTAGAAGAGCTGCAGTGGGACATGAGGGTGCGCGCCGCAGGACACCAGAAATGTCACTTTACGGAAAACGTGATACGCAACCCATACCAATTCACTAGGCAAAAGAGAGCCCGCAGCCGTACTCTAGTTTTTCAAGCAAAAGAGCTTCGAATCAAACAAAACAGAATGCGTGGGCAGGACACCTGTGATCCTAGGCGTGGCTTGCAACACACACTCCAGCCTTTGAATCTCGTCCATGTCTAGTATAGCATAGCCCATGATATCAACGAGAGCTCTATTGAGCGTTTTCGACAGCATAGCCCAACTCATCACAGTCATATCTACCGCTCCCATCCCACCTCGTCTCGTCTCTAGAACACACACCTCGCATGCAATCACTCAACTATCCAGTCTCACAACAGATTCTGCCATCCGCCCACCCAAGCATAAAGTTCTACAACAAATTCTGCCATCTCTCCCTCCCTCATCTAAACCCAGTTGAATTGAATCAAATCAAGTTAAATCAAATCACACAAACCACACAGCCTGCTCACTTCTCACACACAAAAAAAAGTCTCGGAACGTAAGAAAGGCGGTTGGTGTCTTGAACGCTAAAACACGTTTTGTGGGTACGTACTCTCGATTCTACACCTAGTCGTGTGTGTCTTTGTTTACGAGGCGAGTCGGGGGTATGAGACGAGATGAGAGATGGGAAGGAAGGGAAGAGGGGAAAGCGAGAAGGGAGAAGGATGGTAGCTTAGTATGTTTGTGTGTTTGTGTATTGGAAGCAAGTGGGGTAGAGTAGAGTGGGGTAAACCAGATTAGATTAAACTGAAGCAAAACACATTCAAACAACACAAGGACAGGCACGACAACAAGCGTAAATACAAGCCTACGTATATACCTTATAAACCCCAACACCGCATAAACACTTTCTACCACTTGACTAGCCCTACCACACAGTTACATAAGAAAACAAATAGTTAGTTGAATGTATAATTTCGTAAAATCTTATCCACATATCACACACTTCTCCCAGTCCCAGGCTAATGCATAACAAGACTTGACAAGAAAAGGCTGATATCCAAACTCCTAGCGATATATCCAGGTCAGTCAACTACTATCCCTTACATCTACCAAGCTCGGAGCGTGGGGGAAGAAAAACAAGCACCACCCTCTCTACCCGCCATCACACAGCACACAGCACACTTTTAAGCATAGTTTTAAATTGTTTATTTCTTTCTCTCCTTCCTTTCTTCTTTCTTTCTTCTTTCTGTCTGTATATCCCCCCCTCTTCTCCCTACCCCTCTCCCTACCCCTCTCTCCCCACATACCCAGCACAGGCAATCCCACCCCATTACAAAAAACCTATACCAACGACAAAACCGTTGGGTAAAAAAAGATCTTTATAGAAAAGGAACTATATGTGGATTGCCTTGCCCTGCCTTGCCTTGCCTCTTCGTCCCCACTCCCACAGTTCTATAACGCAGAAAAAACCCCAGTTTGATCATAACGACGTTAACAAGGAAAACAACAAAGCACACACACACACACACACACAAACACAGAGAAACAGAGATATGCAAAAAAGCATATACAAAGAAGGAGAAAAAACGCAGGAAAATGTTTGACTCCCCATAACGCCGGTATATGCAGATGTTGTGATGATACTTGGCCGCCCACCAATACCAACACGAAACACCAGCAAGTTTGTATGTTGTGTGTTGTATGTGTATGGCTGGCGGATAGGCTATGCTCTCAAGTGTCTGTGTCTGTGTCTGTGTCATAAAAGCCGAGAAGAAGGGCATCTTTCCTTCCCTCCTTCCACGCTTTACGACCCCATCCATCTCAATGCAAAGCTCTAAAAAAAAGATGCAAAAGTCGCCAGCTGAAAAAAAACGCCAACGAATAAATGTCGAAAAGAATTTTTGCAGATGATGGGGGTGCCGCTAAGGTAATCCAAGGGAGAAAATCCGGGGTATCGTGCAGCGACGTCAAGTCAAAAAAAAAGTAGTAACAAAGCAAAACTGGAAAACAACAAAAGAGAGATGGAAAAAAAAGCGTGTCGTAAATTTCGAGCCACAGGTCGGTAGTGGTCGAAAAAAGGATGGGCGCTTTTCTATTCGCATGTCTTTTCACCGTTTTAACGGTTTATGATATTGCGAGCCTGAACTTATCGAGTTGTTCTTCTCACGGATACGGATTGTTGGCGGTGGCTCTTGGTGTTTTGCGGAGAGGATGGCTGAGACGGCGAGGGTGATGAGGGTGATGAGTTCGGCTGTGGCTGCACCAATAGCCGTGTAGAAAGCGACTCCCTGTGACGGTCCATGTTAGTAAACTTGGTATAATTGCCAAAGTCGATAGTTTTGGCTTACCTGCTCCTCGCAGACGGCGCGATATTGGTAGCGGCCGTTTGTCAGCACACTGGCATTGGTGCACGAGTAGCGGCCCAAGCTGGCCTTGCTAGCCTTGTCAAGCAAGTTGAAGACGACAAGCGCCGTAACCCACATGATGACGCCAAAGCTACCGGCTACAATACGATAAAGGTCGCGAGAGCGAAACGGGCGGCGAAACGAGCGCTTGAACGAGAGGCTGAGGATGGCGACCGAGGCGAGGAAGTTGCCGGCGGCAATGGCGAAGAGGATAATGGTAGGCGCGAGGTTGGTGTGTGCAGGCCAGACCATGGGAAGTTCCCCTTTGCGCAGATCAATGTACCGGTTCCCGCGATAGATTTCAAACGTGTGCATGAGCATGCAGACGACGGCGCCGCTGAGCACGATGATCAACAGCCGCAGACATGAGCGCAGTCGACTCAGCCAGTGGGCGCGGTCTGAAGTGGAGAGCTCGAGATTCATTGGCACCCGGTTTCGCGTGAATGCGCCGCAGTCGTCGAGGAGAGAGAAGGGGGCGGCTCCGGGACGCGACGAGATGTTGCAAGGTGTTGGCGGGGGATGCGAAGGCGACGACAAGGCGGTAATGTCCTGGTTGGAGCTAACAAGGCAGGTTGTGGTAGTCGTTGTGGAGTTCGCGACGTAAGCTCTGGCCATGATCTTGGGTAGGTTTCTCGAGCCCGCCTTGTCACTGAGCAGGCGTAGTTTGTGGTGAAGGGTGGTGTCGTCGCGCAGCACCCTCGAAGTGCGGAGTCGAGTGTCGAGGTGTGCCGCAGCGTGTAGTATAGAGAGACAAGGCGAACACGAAGGACATGTGTGGTAGCAAAGGCAGGCACATTTGCAGCGGCAGGCACGGCCTGAAGAGGCGTAACATGGCAAGGGGGCTGCATCGGGCAAGCCACCTCGACAAAAGCCTGGCGTCCGAGCTTGTTGAGATCGACCTGACGTCGAGACTCTGCATGCGGCAGATTCGCAACGAGAGACTTTACTATTTCACTGTGCGCGTTTGAGCCCCGCCTCTATTGCTGCATTGACAATGTCCCTAGACGCATGTGCTGTGTTTCTCCTCCACAAAGACCAGTCGACCATGAATCTCGACAGGGAAGCCACGACCTGCACACCTGCCAAGATCGACCAAAATAGTCCGAGCGCGCCTTTCTCATTGGCCCCACGTTTCGAACAAGTTCAATTCTCTCCGCTATGCTGCACCAGTCCTATAACCCAAGCCTCTAAGCTTTGCAAATGCCTATTGCTTCTAGACTGCCCAGAAGGCTGCAAATACAATACCAATACCAATACCACTCACATGACGCCTTGCCTTGCCCAGCAAACTCCTAGTTGCCACTTCCATCCTGAACGCGCGTCGGCCAAACAAGCGGCCAATAACCTCATCATCAACGACAGGGGTCTGCGGGCCGCTACTGACGTACGCAATCCACGCTTGCCAAGCCCATCCCCGAGCCTTCAATAACGCGCCCACGGCTTCAGAATCAACAAAGCTTTCCCCATCCACAGCTAAGGCGAGTGTAAGAAAACCGCTAGAATGCCTTGGCCGTAACTACACTACCTAACCCGCCCACCTTTCTGACATGACATGCACAGCCCGCCTGTTTTAGCTTTTGCATGACAGGACGAGGGAAGCCTGCGCACAGCCACATTATCAGCCACACCATTGCAACATCAACGTATCGGTATCGAGGTAGTTAACGCGAACCTTAGCTTGCAGGCTGACGTGACGTTGTCTGCTGATGCAAGTATCCGCGAGTAGTGGCAGCTGGAGCACGGCATTTAGTTCCGACGTGTGAACAGGTTCGTTTCTCCACTGTGAGCAGGGCTACACGCGGTAAAGAACTTCCCGGGCATGCACGCCATCTGCAATCTGGCAGTTTACCCTGCAAGTTGTGGCGTCATCGTGCAGGAAGGCAGCAGCAGCAGCCTCGATGTAGTAGGTAAACCTACACGTGAGCAAGATATCGATCGAAAAAGAAATATCATCATCAATAGTGACATACTGATAAGCCAAGGGAATTTGTATCGGCAGATTCACTGGTGTTCAATTCGTAACATGGTGACAATCTAATTGTTACTTGGCCACGACACCGCACTCTGCAAACAAGTCCTCAAACCCCGGTGCTGCCTGAACCACATTGCACTTTTCCTGGTTCCACGTATCCACCAGCCCGTCTTCCTGGCCTTGCATAACCGCATCAAGCATCGCAACCGTGTCCTTGACCTGCGCTTTGACACCTTCGACGTCCTGACCACTAGGCTTCTTCTGCTCTTCCAGACAAGTACTCCACAGCACGCACAACCCCATCATGATATTTGCGCGGTAGTTGTGCAGCCTAGGCCAAGCACTCAGCATCACACTCTGCAGAGCGCCGAGCGCGGCATCCAGCAGCCGTATGTGAGCGAGTGCAAAGGGCTCTTGCAGGATACCCGAGAGCAGAGGTACAAGGTCGGGCAGGTGTTTGACAGTGTCTATGCCCATGTGACCTTGTACCACGGGCACGTGAGACATGATCAACGTAGCAAGTTCAGGGTACGACGACGGAGTGGGAAAGTGCGCAAGGGGGGAGAGTATACCCTGACGAAGGATTTTATCTAGGAATTGCTCTCTGTTGTCGCCGTTATTCGTATCGGTAGGGAGAAGCAGAGCGAGCAAAGTTACAGCAACCAAGACTGCTTTGAACAGTGTGACTGATTCTTGCTCCGGTGTTATCGAGGGGATATATGTAAACAAGGGAAGTAGAGCGTCCGCAAAGATGTGGTGATAACCCGTGCGCTGCAGAAAGTTTGACTCTTTCTTGGATGCATCGCCTGCTTTTTGCAGCCGTCCAAGAAGCAGACCAAGTATATGACAGCCCTTTGCTTTCCACTGCACGTCGACATCGTCAATCATCTTGAGTATGGGTGGCATCAGGAAGTGCCATTTCGCTTCTATCGACTTTTGGCCTAGTGAGCCAATCGTCCACTCCAGCAAATCCAGCGCGTATTGATTCCCCGCCTCCTTCCACGGCGCCGGTTGCCGCGAAGCTTCCAGTGCATTCGACGAGGGCTTATTCTGCGGGAAGAGAGGTGGAATGGTAAGCTGAAGAAAGTGTGATGCCAGGCGAAGGGGAAGCTCACTATCGGTTTTCTCGCCCCTAGAAGCCTTGACGGCCTCGATAGCGGCGGCGGGGTCCGTGATATCGGGATTGCGTAGCTGCCAGGCCATGACCACGTCGAGGGCGTCCTTCATCCAAGGGCCAGGCTTTGTACCGAGTGCCTTGGCAAGGTCTGTGCCTTTGAGTAGAGGTCTGAAGGTATCTGCTTCGAGGATCTTGAGCTCAGTTACCCGATTGAGGAAGCTGGAGTAGGAACGGAGAAGTTCTGTAGATGGTTAGCATGTGTACGTCTTGGAGCATTGATTGAAACTTACCTTCTTTGGATACACGTCCTAGCACAACCTCGTAGACGAGATTGAACAAGACTTGCGTTCTCCATGTAGAGCCCCACCGGCGAATGGCCATTCCCAGAGTATCCCGAGCTGTGGCGTCGCTGGTCGGGTTAATGGTATCAGGTCGTCGAAGGCCTTTTGCACACTGAGCGACAAGGTTACGAATCTCCTCGCTGTTGCTCAGGCATGTGGCAACAATGTCACAGATCTTGTTTGGCGCCTTGAAACCCTCACGAGCGACTAGGTAAGCGACAAAGTATGGCCGTTGCAAGGGCTTCTGATGGGGTACAGTGGGCGCATCAGCCCAAGGCATCATCGTAGCGCAGACCCAAGCCAGGTACTTTTCATCCTCGTTTCTCATGAGGATGTCTGGAATAGCAGTAGGTACCTCGCCACTCTTCTTGACAACCGATTCAACAAAGTCGTATGCAGGCGTAAAGTAGGCTGTTTCGGGTTCAGTAGGCAACTCGCGCGTCGGGTCTGTAAAGACGGTCCGGTAGAGGCCAAAGCGGTCAATCAGCTCCAGCGCCATACGCGGCCGAGGACCCTTGAGCATCTTCTCGAGTTCAATGCCGACACGTTCGCGGCTGATCTTGATCTTCAGCACATCCTGGATGTCTGCGTTTCCCATGGCCTTTGCAGTCTCAGGCTCGATGGTGTAGTCGAGACGGCTGGCGAAACGAATCAGCCGGAGTACTCGCAAGGGATCATCCTTGAATGTTTGATAGGGCTCCAACGGCGTTCGAATGATCTTGGCAGCCATGTCGTCATGTCCACGGCCTGTAAAGTCCTCAACCTGGCATGTGTGGAGGTTGTAGAACATGGCATTTACGGTAGCATCGCGGCGCATGGCGTCTTCTTCAGCTGTACCAAACTCCATCTGCGGGTTGCGAGAGACTTCGTTGTAAGTCTCTTTCCTTAGATTGACCAGATCCAAGTCAATGCCCATGATTTTGGTCGTGGCTGTTTCGAGGTTCTTTGACTTTTCGGGGTTCGCCTCAATCTTGTGCAGACCCGGGGCAATCTTCTTGGTCTTGTCGCGTGCATCGAGGTCATCGTTGGGTTCAATGAGGCCGTGTTTCTCTGCATTGCCTGGGATTTCAAGATACTCTTGCATCTTGAGGCCAAAGTGCTCCCCGGTCATCTTGTTGATGGCAACATCAATGTCGTTGCTGCCGACTTTCAAGAGCTTGTCTCGCACCCATCCTCCCGTCCAACGAAGCGTGATCTTTTCGTTTGCAAGGTGCTCTGGTACCTGCACGGCAGTAGCGTCTCCATTAGAAGGGGCCTCGTCGATATAAGCGGCAACATCGAGCAACAGTTGTCTTAGCTTGGTCTCGACTTCAGTTAGTTCCAATTGGACTGATGGGGCATCCTCGGAGGTCATGGTCCCGAAAGGCTGAATGAATTGAGTTGGTGCAACAATTCTGCGCCGTTTGGGGCTTGGTGGTTGCAGTTCCGGAGAGCTGCCTCGGGACATGCGAGGTATTTGGCGGGTGAGAGAAAGTGTGGTGGTATGGAGAGGTCGAATGGTGAGTGCAAGCAAGTCACGTTTGTACAGACGTGAGAAAGTGCGTGGTGAGCAAATGCGGCAGGCTCGACTCGCCCACGACATGCGTGTGAGTCAGAGAAAGAAGGAAAACGCTGTGACAGAAACGTACAGAAACGTACAGTGAATGTCTAAGAACGACAGACTTGAAAGTGGAAAGCGTGATTTAACTCTGCTGCAAGGACAAAGTTCCGGAGGGAGAGGCGGCATTTCGTCCACTCACAAAGCGCAGCGGCCGCAACGGCGACGATGTAGCATCACCAACATGGTCACACTCGCCCAACTACAACCCGGCTCGCATATGCAATTAAGCATCTCCTGCCGCCAGCCCGCGTCGACGACAAACAGGACAAGCAGGATACATGCCGACGGCCTCAGACCTTCCGCGCGCATCCAGAACCCCGCGGGCGCATCGCCCTAGCCTCCCATGACGCCGCCTCAAGATGCCACGCCGAAACTCCCAAAGTACCCGGCCGATATCGAGGCCTCTATGGTCCTGCCTAGACACCGCGCCTCGCCTGCCGATTCTCTCGCCAGTCTGCCTTACCGCCGCTCAAACCCTAGCCTGTCCAAGCTGTTTGAATCCACCACGAGCATCTCCACGTCGCGCCCCAACTCGGGAGCCGCAACGCCTACCCAGAGTACCGTTCAGCCCTCAGTCTTCTCGCCGGGGTCGCGATTGAGCGGGACAGGCACGCCCAGTACTCTGCCGCCTGGTGTATCGGACGAGTACCGTACGCTGATTCAGCAGGCCTTTGTGCCATGTGTCGCCGTCCTCGCGGATGCGCAGACGGATGAGTTGATACGTGCAAAGGGGTTGGAGGGGGGGCTATTGCAGTTACTTCGGCCATTTGGCGAATCCGTGCCGGGCAAGGTCACGATAAGAGATAGCAATGGGGCAAGCAAGAGCTGGGACGACTTTGGCGTGCGCTTCATCGGCGTCGACGATGCATATCCCGACTTGCGGGTAGACACGGGAGGACAGCGGACGTCGACGAGCTCTATACGACGGCCAAGGCGGACGGGCGGTGACGTGTCGCAGATTGAAGAGCTCGTGGACCGTCATCTGCAATACTCCGAGTTCAACAGACAGGACCCCGTGCCCGACTACATGAACAAGGGCGAAGCGCCTGTGCCGCAGACAGACAGCACATCATCCCCCTTTCACACCCTATACCTCCGCCGTCTACTGTCTGGACTACCTGTGGTACCCCACGAGACTTTCTCCCATCCCGTAGCTGGCATAATAGCCATCAGCTCGCGCAACCCCCACCCAATAGAAGAGCTACGTAGACTGTACAATAGGCAGCATGACGGCGACCTGCGGTTTCCGCAATGGGTCGAAAACGACTTCTTACGATATTACGTCTTAATACATGATGAGGAAACGGGCGACATTGCGAAATCGAACCAGACTTTTGATTCGATGAAGCGCCATTTCGGACTACACTGCCACCTTTTGCGGCTCAAAAGCCAGCAATGCATAGCTTCGGATGACGATAGTGTACGTCTACCGACATGCGAGTGGATGTCTGCGTCGGAGGAACTAGCAGAGATTCAACGACGAGGTACATCTCCTTATACCCCTTACTCCTACACCCTATACATACTCACCCTCGAATAGAAACCACAGACGACATAACAGACCCAGCGCCCTACTTCCCCGACTCGGACATCAGTAGTCTCCGCACCTTCATCCGCGAACTAGTAACGCAATCCATCATCCCCAACATGGAACGCAGCGTGTCGACATGGAACGAGCAAATCCTGTCCCGCCGCCGCGGTCTCTCAGGCCGCTTCATGTCGCTGTCGAAGCGGTGGACACCGTTTGGTAGCTCCCGCACCAGCTCCTCGTCATCATCCACAATCTCCAGCAACTCAAACTACGACAGCCTGCAAGGCTTCTACCGCCCAGACGCACCAGAAGCCATAATGCGCCGTCTAGCAGACTACTGCTTCATGCTCCGCGACTGGAAGCTCGCCCTCAGCACCTACGATATTTTACGGACGGATTTCCAAAACGACAAAGCCTGGCGCCACTACGCCGGCGCCGCAGAAATGGCCGCCCTCTCCGCCCTCATGAACCCGCAACCCCTTTCTTCAACCCCCAAAACCCGCGCTGAAAACATCGACGCCTGGATCGAAGCAGCCAGTTACTCCTACACCGACCGCCAACGCTCCGCAGCCCCATACTACGCCCTCCGCACCCTAGTCCTCAGCTTCGAACTCCTACGCCTCCGTGGCCCCGCCGCCGCAGACGACGCCGCACGCTGGGCCACCCGCATCCTAGATGCCCACCTCGTGGGCCCCGCCGGCCACGCCCTCATCACCGAGCGCATCTCGGCCTGCTACGCCATCCGCACGGGCACCGGCCATTACAAACTCGGCTCCCGCCGTCGCAAAGCCGCGCTCTGGGCTGTTCTCGCCGCGCAGAATTGGTTCCAACAGGAAAAAGCCGTACAGGCTGAACGGGCGCTGGATACGGCGCTCAAATTGTTCAACACGCGGATTGAACATTCTGGTACGCCGGGGAGTGTGGGGCTGGGCAGTGTGGGCAAGTTGCCGTATGATGATATGCAGCTTTTTATTGACTTGCTCCGCCAACAAATCATGGGGCTTAGACTGCTGAATCAGGGCTATGTTGATGATGATGATTTGCCTGATCGGAGGGCTGCCCAGACTAGCGATGATGACGACGGTGAAGAAGGCGGCGTGAAGGGTGCAAAAGTAGAAGATATACAACCAGAAGCCCTAGATAAAAGCCCCAGAGCTAAACGCAAGAGTCTGATGGTTGCGGGCGAGGGTATGGGTGGTGGTGTGGGTCCGTTGAGTCCGGCGGCTTTGGCGGTGGAGAGGAGGGAGGGGGAGGGAGGGGGCAGGGTTGATGAGGGGTTTGAGTAGTGGTTGTCTGTGTTTGCGTAGGGATGAGGGGGAGAGGGGTGTGTGGTGTGGTGTGTAAGTGAGTGATGGGGTGTGTGGAGGTGGATTAGAAAGGTTAGGTGGGTTAAAGGGTTATTAACTAGGGATTAGGGGTGTGTATTATGGTTTTCTTCCTCTTCTTCCTCGTCTGATGGTCATGGTCATGGTCATGATTATGAGTACGATGGTGGAGGAAGTGGGGGTTCGTTCTGTTCTGTTCTGTTCATTCTATCCGTACTACTCTTGTCTAATCATTTAACAAGACAAGACAAGACGTGCATCTTTCCCATACGAAGAGTAGATTTTCACGAAAAAAACACGGCATTTACATTCACAAGCACAAGCACAAACACAAACACAACCACTTATCTCAGTATACGAATGCCATGCATTTCAAAACGTGTCAAGCAACGTCATTGTATGATTCTCATTCGTGATCCTCTCATTCAGCTCAGTCAGTTCATATGCCATGCCATGCCATGCCATCCTCCATCCGTGAACCAGACCGCGCAAACACGCACGCATCAACCTCCCCCACACAAGCAAAGATCAAACAAGCCACCCCACCTCCCAAAAACGCCAAAAGCCAGTACGTCCAGACCGCAGGCCCAAGCACTTTGGCACCATACGGCCCCGAACAAACCAGCCAATATGCAACGATGTTTGAAAAAAACCCGTCAATGTATGCATGTATGAGAGAGAGAGAGAGAGATTGTCTGATACTCGTATGCTATGCAAGAAGAAACAAGCAAGTAGTAGTAAGTAGTATGTAAAGAAAGAAAGTAAAGTAAGAAAGTGTTGTCCAGGTAAGAAGAAGGAGGGTAGGTAAGGGAACCCACAAAGTAGTAGTGAAAAATAAAGCGCCCAAATGTGTTTAGATATGCTGGGGTATCATGGTTCGTCGTCATTGCGTGTCGTCAACCGTGGAAGAACTGAAAGTGTGTTCGTTCAATGGTCGTTAGAGAGCCGGTGTTTCTCATGTGTGAGAGAGACTCGGCCTGTTGAGTCTAGAGTGCCGTCACGGGAGGTGTGATGGGCGTGGTGGGGGTGGTGGTTGGGGTAGATGCGGTTGCTGCCAACGCCACGGTGGGCGAGGCTACCAGAGCCGGCTTGGGAGTGGTCTCTGCCATGGCAGGGGTAGGAGATGCTACCGATACCGACTTCTTGGGCGTAGTCAAGACAGGGGATACTACCAGTGCCTTGCTAGCGGAAGTTGGGATGACG